CCCATGCACTGCCCTGGAAATCTGACTGATTAACTGCTCCGAGGACACCTCATTGCAGCTTTCCAGTATCTGAAGGGGGCCTACAAGGGTACTGGGAGAGGACTTTTTACAAGAGCCTGTAGTGACAGGACAAGGGGTAATGGGTACAAATTGAAATCAGGGAGGGTTAGATTAGATATCAGGAAGGAATTCTTCCCGCAGAGGGTGGTGAGGCACTGGGACAGGTTGCCCAGGGAAGCTGTGGATGCCCCATCCCTGGGAGGGTCCAAGGCCAGGCTGGATGAGGCTTTGAGCAACCTGGTCTAGTGCAAGGTGTCCCTGCCCATGGCAGGGGGGTTGGCACTGGATGATCTTTAAGGGCCTTTCCAACCCAAACCATTCTGGGATTCTATGATTCTATGACTTCACTGCAGCGTTTCACAGGGTATGAATCTGTGCGTGCTGAGAGAGGATCCTCTCATAAACTTTTGACATTTCAGCCATGCACTCTGCACCTGAGGTGGAGACATCTGCACAGCAGGCAGATCCTGCCCGGAATAACTGGATTGTGTGTCAAAGTCCTGAGTGTGGGCAGCCTCTCATCTCACTCTGGAGATCTGCAAGGCAAAATCCAGGCTCTGTCCGTAGGCAAAGCAGGAAAGGGCTCTCCAGATGGCAATTCCACCTGGCTATCATCTTGGGATGGGATGAAAAACAAGCTAAAAGGCTTTATCATCCTCCATTAACTGAAGAAGTCTGGACATGCATCTCCCTCGAGGCTCAAGGGAATGTAAGGTTTAAATCCAAGAACATACTGCTGGGAGCATAAGTTTTATGGGAAACTTCACTCACCACACCTCGGTAGGACGGAGGGATGAATCCACAGTAGATGGGAAGAAAGCAGCTGCAGAGCAGAGCCTGGGGGAGGAGAGGGATGGCAGAAGTAAATGTTCCTGTCAAAGTTCTCCCGGACAAAAGCTGTCAACTGGGTGCCTGCAAATTCAGGCTTGACAAGCCGTCTGGAGCCAGGCTGTCGGAACCACCTGGACTTCGCTCTTGACTGTGTCAAGAAGAAAGATTTCCAGAAGAGGCAAACACTTCATTTCAATCCAGTTGAAACACTTCTCTGGAGAAGGGCTTAGCACTTCGGTTTTTATTTTTATAGCTGCCAGCAAGGTTAGAGTTGTATATTTATATTTTACTGCCCTTTGACGGTAGCAAGGTGAAACTTTGTGGTAATTTTTCATATTATGGGGTTTTGGACAAAAGCAAGACATCTTTATGATGCATTTTCATTCAGTTGGGATTTATCAATGGCAAAGCCACTACTGGGCCTTCTGCACCCATTTCTCAGCAATCTCATCAGCTGGGAAATTGAGCATCCCAGACTCCCAGCTGACCTTGGGCAGAGACCACACGGTGAACACCAGCATCTCCATGACCTTGCCATTCTCTACCATCCCCAGAACAAGCAAGACCACGACCTCATGGTCAGCCTTGTTATGGTTTTACCCTGGGATTCTTTCCCCAGCAGCTAATTTACTGGTCAATGAGCTTCATGTTGTTGGCAGCACAGATGCTTTTGTCCTGCTCTTTCCTCCTAGAAAGTGCTGAGGCAACAAGGAAAATTGCTGCCAAGGGGACTTGGTGGAGAAGAGACCTGTCCAGAAAGCTGAGAGGTCATGATAGCATTAACACAACTCTTTGCAAAGGGTCATTAGCACTTATTAGAGCTGAGCAGCATGTCATCATCAGGTTTTTGAGGCTGGAAACAAACCTGCTTTTTTAGCTTGATTTATTCCTGAGTGGCTCTGGACTTAACATCTTCCTCCTTCCCTCCAGGCCTGATGGAGCTCACTGTGGTGGGACCACAGCTCTGACACCACTGTCCCCATCTTGGGTAGAAAACAGTGCCCTTAAAGCCACCGACACTTAGGTACCTCCACCCCAAGCAGTAGGTGGAGATTGTCCTATGGCAGCGGAGGAAGGTCCCTTTACCTGGATGAGCTCCTCCTTCGAGCTGAACTCAGAGGCGATGACGTTTTGGCCATCTACCACCCGCGTGAGCGAGATGTGCAGCCGCCCTGAAGCCATCTGGTAGGAGTCTTCTGGTAGTACCCGCTGCAGAAGAGTCTTGATTTTCGCCAGCAAGCTGCACTTGGGAGAGAGGGGGCCCAAGATGGTTTTCCTCACTTCGTTTATCATGGCAAAGAAAATTTCCTTTAAGTCATCTGACGCAGAACATGGGGAAAGAGACAAAGAGAAAGTCACTATATCTGCTGCCCTAACACTTACGTTTTTCATCCTATTTTTAACACTCTCCAGAAATAAAGCCGCTTGCAGCTCTGTGCACAACCCCAGGATGATACTGCTGCAGCGACGGGGGACGTGGTGGCGGGGCAGAAAGGGGAAGAGCACCCTCATGATGTCCTCAAAGGACAACATCTTACTGGGCATGACCCCACTGGTGAAATCCTCGTCTGCTCCAGGGGCAGGGGCTTAAGATGTGACTGACAGGGATTAGGGGAAGGCTCCAAAGAGCCTCAGGAAGGGGGACACAGGTGCAGGCACCGAGTTATCGGTGCCAATGTGACTTGCACAATGCATTTCTGCCTTCCACCTCCCAATTTTGCGCGTGGGCAGCTGGGACAGCTCAAAGGTGAGGACAAGGTCCCGATCCCTGCTTCCTCTTCCTAGGGCTTTCCTGCGAGCCTGGTACCCTGGCTGCACCATGCTGGGACTCCCCGCTCATCTGAGCTCCCCCGGTGACCTCCCAGACAGCGTTAATAGTCATTACATGTGTCTGCACAGCCCAGAAGCTGGATTAAAGGAGCAGAACTGCAGAGCCCTGGCCAAAGGCTCAGGAGACACCGGGTTTTAAAGGCTTCAAAATGATGGGGGGAAGGAGGGGTAGAGCAAACCCCATCATCAGCCTCATCCACAGGAGGGACCTTGGCCCCGTTGTCGAAATGGGGAGGTCGCTTGCAGGAATATCCCACCTTGGGTGGGTAAACTGTGCATCAAAAAGCTTTTCCAGCTCATTGATGCTGCAAAGAGCCGTCCTTGCACCCAGCTGGGCTCCCCAGGACCCGGCATGGCCACAGAGCCACGGGCTTGCCTTTGAAATGAGGCTTTGTAGGGGCAAAGGTTTCCGGCTGTCTCGTGAGATTGCTTTAAAAGCACGACAGACAGATGGATTAGATGGAGTGTCCTGAAGGCAACTGGAGCAACACAGGTATTAAGAGGGGTTATAAATGTTTGAGCGGATATTCAGGCCATGTGGCGTGATGATTAACACTCGGCGGGTTCACACGGGGTCCTCAGGGATACTGCCAGTGCCAGAAACACCCCAGGAAGGGGGTGCACTGACTGGGCACTGTCTGACTGCTTTGTGTCCTTAAAATGGGGGAAAACACAGAAAAACTGCCTGCAAGCTGCCGGGTCGGAGGTCAGAGCTGACCACAGCTTTGGGGGCTTTGGCTCTGGCTGGGGCTTTGAGTGGAGCAGAGCGAGGGCTGACCCCGGAGGGCAATGCCATGACCGCCCCCGCCTGCGCCCGCTTGCTGGTGACAAGCATGTGCCCAGGAGGTGACCTGGGGGGTGGCAGGGTGAGCTCAGCGCTCCTCACCCAGCCTGGGTCAGGGTACCCGACCACAGCCATCCCATGGCACACGCCGTCAGGGGCCCTGCACACCCTTAACCCTCTCTTCACCCCAGTCCTCCCCAGTGTGAGTGTGGCAGAGTTTATGACATATCCATTTTCCTTATTAGAAACATGACCAGAGTAATCACTGCCCAAAAGCTCTTTTCTTCCCCTGGGGAAGATGTTTTGGGCACAAGACCATCTCTGCACCTCTAAGTGGATGGTACTTACCACCCCCAGTGAAGCAGACACCCAGTTCAGCACTGGTGCCCACGGCAAGAGCAGTTACCAAACTGGTTTATACCTGCTGGAGAGCCCCAGCTCCATCCAATTGCACCAGCATGAGGAATCAGAGAGGAAAGTTTTGGGGCCCTTGCTGATTTGTAGAGGAGTTCATCCCCATGTGGCAGAAAGGTTCCTTCTGGTTTTATCTAAATCTATTTGCCAAAGTTTGGAATTATTTTTAGCTCTGGCAGCGTGGTTCTAGTATCCAGGCGTTTCGAGAACGATTTGTTTCCTCCCTGCTTCCTCCTTCATTATTTGGACCCCAAAACCCCTGCTCCTCCTAAACGTCCTTATTGCTTGAAGCGGAGCTCTGATCAGCCTTCGAAGACTTAAGTCTTGTGTACACTTGTTTGCACAGGGACACTAATTGGGAATATGGGAGGATGTGATTATTAAAAGTGGATTAACTGCTCTGAATTAATTCTACAGATAGAGGATCTCATTGCTAGGGAGACCTGTTTCCACATTGTCTGAAGACATTCAGAGCAAAACCTCTTTTGCAGCAATAAGAGAAACCCCAGCCCTGGACTGGAATGGGGACCACTATTCCCCTGGGCATGTCCCACTGACGAGCCCTTGAGCTTTTGCCAAGGGGAAAGGTGCTCTGCTATCTGGAAACAGGAATTGCACCACATCTTCCTTTGTGCTGGGACGGCCGAGTGGGATAACCCGAACCAGGATGCAAACAGGGCTGTCAGGCCTATAGACACGGCCACCACTCGTGTCCCTTCGTAGCTAAGGATGCTGAGGGCCCTCATCCATGGGGGACAAGGGTCTTGACGCGGGTGTGTGGGATGAACCTGCTTTGGCAGGAGTTGGATGAGATGACTGCTGATTCTGTGACATCCACCCGCCTTGGCCACGTAGACTTGCTTTGGGACACAGCTCAGCACTCCTTAGACCTCGTAGCAGAAGTCAAGGAGGGAGCAGGAAGATGAGCCAATAAAATACAGGTATGTCCAGATTTACCCATGCGGTATCTACCCAGCCATCTGAGATATTCAGACGGTAATTACAGGATTCTTCAGCTTACGCCACCCAACATTGCGCTGGGGCGGCTGCCGAAAATGGCAACATGTAAAGATTTCTTTTATGCCTTGTGAGGGATATAAGTTACACAAATATCGCATCCCCACCGGTGCTTTAAGGCATTAGCTCTTCTATTCCTATTTTGAAAATAAAAAATCTATAGTAAGGAAATCCAGGCAATAACTGTCTTACCGAGGCTGATGCGGCACACCACGGCAGCGGCGATGAGCGAGCCGGCAGATGACCCGTAGACCTTGCACGCTGACTTGAGCACTTCGGGAGACAGCTCCAGGAGGGACTGCACCACCCCGACCTGGTACAGGGCGAGAAAGCCACTGCCCGAGAAAGAGAGCGAGAAAGGGGTGCTCGAACCCCGGAGATCCTCCTCAGCCATCTCGAGGTCAAATTGGCGTATCCGTCTCGGTGTCTTGGGTTGTCCTTTTTCACCAGGTGAACCTCAAGCTCTTGTGTCCTCTGCTTCCTCCAGGCTCATCCCTGGCTTCAGTGGAGTCCGGAAGATGGATTTTCTGCCTCCTTTTATGACAGGTCCCCGAGGTGTTTAGATTCACAAGCTATTTTAATTGCTGCCTGTGCTAAAAAGGGAAATTTTCCCCTGATCAAAACAGCTCTTGTAATCCTCAACCACAGCCAGCTCAGATGTTCGGGGCTGAGTGAAGACTCCCCTTTTATACCAAGCAGTCGAAGGGCCCCGGGAGCCCTCCCAGAGATGGTCCTTGCATCACTGTGCCGTCACGCTTGGAAACATCCCTGTGAAATTTCCTCTTTGCTTCGTGCTTTCTTCATCAAGGGTGTTTTCCTAAATAGGATTCTCCATCAATCCCAGCTTAGGCACAGCTCAGTACTGCGTGAGTTAAGGCTTGTGTAAGACACTTAAAGCCAGAGGGTGTTACACAAGGGGTGGATGCAGGGCGTTACGTTGGGTTAGGTTTGGAAATATTGCTTATTTTTGCACCCTATTGGAAGAGTTTGTCCTTGCCTGACTCTTGGATATTCTTTGGTGGAAAAAAACCAAGGAGCTGGATTTGCTTTTCCCTTCCACCGCCCCAGCACCGTGCTCTAGCAGGCCCTAGAAGGATGCCTGCGGCAGCCCC